TGTGTGTGTAGAGTGTAGATATGTGTGTGTGCATATATGTGTACATGTACGTGTGTGTACAGTCAATCCTCATTATTCACAGAGCCCATATGTGAGAATTCACGTACTTGAATTTTTAATTTATTTTGAGAGAGAGAGAAATACGAGAAAGGCAGAAAGAGAGAGAGAGAGAGAGAGAGAGAGAGAATCCCAGGCAGGCTCCCCACCAGCAGCGCAGAGCCCGATGGGGGGCTCAAACTCACAAACCGTGATACCCTGACCTGAGTGGAAACCAAGAGTCGGGCGCTTAACTGACTGACCTGCCCAGGGGCCCTACTTGAATTCTTTGTAATTGCAAACTCAGTACTTCTAGGACTTTCACGGTCATTTGCAGACCGTGTGTACAGAGCAGCAAAAACTCTGAGGTTCCTACGTGCTTCTTTCCCACGGAGATTCAACAAGGCAGTGCTCTGCTTTCTTGCTCTGCTCTCCTACCATAAACAAGCGCCCTTTTCACGGTCTATTGAGTGCCCCATGTTTCACATTTTTGTACTTTCTGTCCATAGTTCACTGTTTAAAGTGGCCTGAAGCATGATGCCTAGAGTCCTCACGTGCAAGAAGGCTGTGCTCTGCCTTGCAGGGAAAATGCACGTGCCAGACAAGCTTCATTCAGGAGTAACGTACAGTGATATTGGCTGTGAGTTCAGTGTTACTAGGATCAATAATGCAAATTACATGTGTCTTTAAACAGAAACATGCGTGGCGCCTGGGGAGCTCAGACAGTTAAGCATCCGACTTCAGCTCAGGTCATGATCTCACGGTTGGTGAGTTCAAGCCCCCCATTGGGCTCTGTGCTGACAGCTCAGAGCCTGGAGCCTGCTTCAGATATTGTGTCTCCCTCGCTCTCTGCCCCTCCCCCACTCACACTCTCAAAAATAAGTAAACCTTAAAAAATTAAATAATAAGAAGCATGTCTTCTAATGTAAACAGATCAGTTGACCAGTTGATGACAATATAACTAGAGTAAAGGAGTCACTAACTCCTGTTAGTCGTGATGTTGTAGAACATAAACACCACAATAAACAAGGACAATCAACCACTGATTACCTGAGCTGTCTTGCCATAAATCCTGGAGAACAAATAGGAACACTGTGTCAATCATATCTTTTATCCTGTATTTTCCCAGCTTTATGGAGATATTACTGACATGAAAGGCTGTGTAACATTTGAAGTGAACAATGGTGGATGCGCTTCCCCATTGCAACACTGTTACCAGCAGGTGCTTTACATCATCACTATTTTTGTGTCGAGGACAGACGTGCTCTCTTAGCAGCTTTCGAGTCCTTCCCTACAGTGACTCCTGTACATTAGATCTGCAGAACTTACTCATAACCAGAAATTTGTGCCCTTTGACCACCACCTTCCCCACCCCCCGGTCCCGGGTAACCACCATTCTAGTCTGTGTTTCTACAGATTCACCTTTGTTCGAGTCCACGTGGAAGTGAGATCACACAGTGTTTGTCTCTCTCTGACTTGCTTACTTGGCATGATGGTCTCAGGTGTCGTCCAAGTTGTGCAAACGGTAGTTTTCTCGTGGCTGAATCTCTCTACGTAAAAGCTTTGTGGTGAGAGATTTTCCTTTCGTCGTTCAGATGTGCACAAGGCTCTGGACAACACTCCTCAAGGTCCAGCCGGCCAACCGGGAGCATCAGCGTTACCTGGAAGTTTCTTAGGAATGGGGACTCCAGCACGGGGAGAGGGAGGAGGAGGAGGAGAATTTGAAAATGCTGAAGACCCAAATCCATGGATCCCCACTTGCTTCACAGTAAGATCTCCTGGGGGCTTTAAACCATCACCCATGCCCCGTCTCCATCTGCAGAACTTCTGATTCAGATGGTCTGGAGGGGCAGCCAGAACACAGAGATTTCTTTTTTTTAAGTTCATCTGGTGATCCTAATTTGCAACCAAGGCTGGGAACCCCTGAGCGAATCACTGAAGGACTCAGCTGAAGGAAAGAAAAAGAAGCTGGTGGTCTTGGGCGCCCCCTCTCGGCAGGAAGCTGTACAACTCGGCTCCCAGCGACCGCAGACGCGTGGAAAGCCTCGCGGCCCAGGCAGGTGTCAGATAAGCCGGCGGCGCAGATCTGAAGTCTGGAGGACGTGTGCCCTCTCCCCCGCCAAAAAAATACATTTTCAGGAGAAATGCCCATCTTGATCCCTAATTCCACGCAGAGCTGTTGCTCAGGTGTTTCCACTTTTTGGAAACCTGTGATTTGTGTAACCCTCACATAGCACTTACCATGTACCAGGTACTGACCTAAACACTTCACAAATAGTAACTCGTCCACATCGCTGCCCTTTGAAGTCAGTATTATTATTACCTCGGATCTGCTAATGGGGAAACTGAGGCGCAGAGATTTTTGTTTAGTAGTTTGCCTCTCTCTGTAAAGTGGGGGGAAGGGGGCAGGGTTTAAAGACCAGCAGCTAATCATTGCCTTGTTGCCTCTAATCATGATGCTCTGTCCTCTTTGCCGCGGTATCCACGAACCTAGTATCTATTATGTGCCAGACACAATAGGGGAAACTGAGGCCAACAAGCTCCAGCCTCCATTTCTACTGTTGCAGATGAATCTTAGACCTCACAATTTCCCAGACTCCTGCTCAGCCACTGCAGCATCTCAGACATCTGGGTTCAAATCGAGCTCTTGCGCCATCCTAGCTGTGTGATTTGGGGCATATTACTTCACCTCTCTGAGCCTTTATTTCCCCATCAGGAAAAATGAACTTAGTACCATCAAGATGCAATGAAAATTGACCTGACCCCCATTCCAAGCTGTCATCTGACACCCTTTTCACTCACCATGATGATTCTTTAGGGGCAGGGGCGGGGGAGAATGTTTATTTTTGTCTTCAATGGCTGTAACCTAAATTCACCAAAATATTTTTTAAGGGCTCAAGGGTCCATCCTGCAGATCTGTTGAATGATATGGAATAATGAAAAGTACCTCCCCTTCTGCACATACCTGTATCACCATGGATGCCGAAGGCTGGGCTCTGAACACCAGCTATTCAATTCTTTATGTAACAGTCTGTCTGAACTAATCGTATCTTTCGAACATGCTGACGCTTAAAACTCTATTACAACCTCACACTCATTAGGGTAGCTATAATTAAAAAGCAAAAAGCAAAAAAAAAATTTTTTAAAAGACAAAAACAAATGTTAAGGACGTGGAGAAACTGGAACCGTCTACATTGCCAGTGGGAACATAAAATGGTGCAACCACTATGGAAAATAATATGATGGTCTCCAACAATATTCTGACACATGCTTCAGCGTGGTAGAACTTTGAGCACATTGGGCTCTGTGAGATAAGCAAGTCACGGAAGGACAGTAGGAGTCCGCTCCCAGGAGGTCCCTAGAAAAGTCACATCCACAGCGACGGAAAGTAGATGGTGGCAGCCAGGGCTGGGAGGGGCGAGGGGAGTTGTTTAATGCAGACAAGAGTTCATTTCTTGCACATACATTATCCAGAAGGGGGCGTACTGGGGAAGAAGGGATTGCCTCAAATAAGGACCGCGGACTCCACAACACATCAGGAGAGTTGCCTCAAAACCCACTTCTGGTGGTGTTAGTATCACCTGTTAGTAAAACCAAATTAAGTGTGTGTGTGAGTGTGGAATGCTAGAAATTTCCAGCACTAGGGCTGAATGTCACAGGAAGATGGAAGTAAGAAGGTGTCATTTACTAGCAGTGTCCAGATTTAATCCTGGCCCAAGACAGGTTGCGTTTTTATTCTTGTTTGTGATCTGCTACAGGATTTTGGAAATGTTCATTTACTTAGCTGTTTATTGAGGGGCTGTGTCCTTCCCCACCTCCAGCTTTATTGAGATGTAACTGACATATAACATTGTGTGAGTTTACGTCGCACAATGTGCTGATTTGATATATATATCGATTGTAAAATACTTACCATTAAAAATAGAATTACCAATAGCTGGAATAACGTGGAAGCAATCCAAATTCAACAACAGATGAATGGATAAGCAAAATGGGGTGTACACACACAATGGAATATTATTCGGCCTTAAAAAGGAAGGAAATTCCCTGATTCTGCCCTGCTCCCTATTTGGATCCTACAGAGACCTCTCCAGAAGAAGTCCCTGGAGAGAAGACAGACACCCCTTCATCACCACCACCGTGCAGTAAAGAGAGGGAAGGGAAATCAGGGCAGGCTTCCAAGTGGAGGTGACATCTTGCTGAGATTTGATGAAGCAAATTCCTGCTCTGCAGCAGTGGGGCAAGGAGACTGTTCCAAGTGTGGGGAAGAGAAGAGGGATCAAAGAACAGTATGGGGGGTAAATGTGCCTCTCCTTGCCCCCCCCCCGGCAGGCTTTTGTTTCCTTTGGGAAACCAGTAAAGCACACCAGCTAGCCAATCTCCTTCTGATAAATATTTTAAGAGTTAATATTTTAGTTTTTAATTTTTTTTTTGAGAGAGAGACAGAGACAGAGCATGAGCAGGGTAGGGGCAGAAAGAGAGGGAGGCACAGAATCTGAAACAGGCTCCAGGCTCCGAGCTGTCAGCACAGAGCCCAACACGGGGATTGAACCCACGAACTGCGAGATCATGACCTGAGCCGAAGTCGGACACTTCACTGACCAAGTCACCCAGGCGCCCCATAGGGTTAATATTTTTAATGAAATTAATTTTAAGATGAAATTCTAAGGGGCCTATGACCAGCTCTCCCTTACCACACTGTAAAGAGCTTCAAAAGGAAGCCCCAAGAGAAGCGTCTTGGGTCGTCCTGGGTTTGGATCAGAGGTCTCTCCTTGGGCACCCTCTAGCCTGCTTCTCCCAATTTGGGGGGAAATCCAGAACATGAGTATCCTGACGGCTTTCTGGGAGAGGCTCAGCCCCCTCCCCACCCCTCCCCTGCATTGTGAAGTCTTTTGAAGGGGGCGGCAGGCAGGGTGATGTCATAGACCACTGGCTCCCCCCTCTCTACGCATGCGCCTGCCCTGCTCAGGCCTCGGCCTTTTCTCCTGACACCCCTGCGCCCCTGAAGAAAGCAGGCAGCCATCTGCGTCCATGGACGCGAATCAGTCCAGCTCCACGAAGCCCCAGCCCTCCCCGGAGGCCCCCAGGCCTGGCGGGAACTCCAGCGCCGTCGAGGCCACCAACACCTTGCAGCAGGAGGCCCCCAGCACGGTGGGCGACAAGTTGCCACCAAAGACGGGCGCGGTGGTCATCGACATGGGCACGGGCACCTGTAAGGTGGGCTTCGCGGGGCAGGCCCGGCCCACCTACACGGTGGCCACCATCGTGGGCTGCCAGCCCGGGAGGCCGTCCGCCACCGGGCCGCCGCGGCTGGAGACTTTCATCGGCGAGGCGGCCCGCGAGCGCCCCCAGCTGACGCTGGTGCAGCCGGTGCGGAGCGGCATCGTGCTGGACTGGGACGCGGCCGAGCTCATCTGGCGCCACCTGCTGGAGCACGACCTCCGCGCGCCGCCGCGCGACCACCCGCTGCTGTTCTCCGACCCGCCCTTCAGCCCCGGCACCAACCGCGAGAAGCTGGTGGAGGTGGCCTTCGAGTCGCTGCGCTGCCCGGCCATGTACGTGGCCTCGCAGTCGGTGCTGTCGGTCTACGCGCACGGGCGCGTCAGCGGGCTGGTGGTGGACACCGGCCACGGCGTCACCTGCGCCGCGCCCGTCTTCCAGGGCTACGGTCTGCCGCACGCCGTCGAGCGCCTGGACCTGGCGGGCGCGCACCTGACCGCCTTCCTGGCGGAGGTGCTCCTCGGCTCGGGCCTGCAGCTCGGCCAGCACGACCTGGACGCGGTCGAGGCCATCAAGCACCGCTACTGCTACGTGGCGCCCGACTTCCTGCGGGAGCAGGCGCGCCGCCAGACGCTGAAGCTGCCGGACGGGCGGACGGTCACGCTGGGCAAGGAGCTGTGCCAGGTCCCCGAGCTGCTGTTCAGTCCCCCGGACATGCCGGGGCTGTCGCCCGTGGGCGTCCCCGCCATGGCCGCACGGAGCCTTCACAAGGTGCCCCTGGAGGCGCGCGCGGACGTGGCCCGGAACGTGCTGCTCTGCGGCGGCTCCTCGCTCTTCCAGGGCTTCGAGGGCCGCTTCAGGGCCGAGCTGCTGCGCACGCAGCCCCCGGAGGCCCACGTGGTGGTGGCGGCGCAGCCTACCAGAAACTTCTCGGTGTGGATGGGGGGCTCCATCCTGGCCTCGCTGCGCGCCTTCCAGACCTGCTGGGTCCTGCGGCAGCAGTACGAGGAGCAGGGACCCCACATCGTGTACCGCAAATGCTACTGACCCGGGCGGCGCGGCGGGGGCTGCGGGGGCTGCGGGGGCAGGGGCGGGGCGGGGGAGGGGGCACTAAAGCTTCCAACACCCACCCGGCTCTGTCCTGCCTGAACCCAGCGCCCAGCCCGGTCCGCTCCTGGACCCACCCCGACTCACCCTGGGTTCTGACCCCACCAAGGTCGGCCTCCCAGACCCCCTGGTTCTTTCCTGTAACACCAGCAAGAACGCCCAGCCCAGGAGGCTGCGGGGTCGTGAGGCGAAACTTCCCATTCTTCCCACAAGGGGGCAGCACCTCCAAGTTCAAGGCTCTGGGACCAGGCAGCACTTTGAGAACCACAGACTGCAGCAAACCAGTCCTCCCAGACCTCAAGGGAGATCCACCCCACACAGCGGTGTCAGGGCACTGGCAGACACACACACACACACACACACACACACACACACACACACACACACACAAGGGATGTGGGACAGGCTGGGTCCTGATGCTACAGGAAGTGAGGAGAAGCAGACACCACCACCACCCCCAACCCGGGTGGCTAAGTGAACTCTCATTTAGACCAGACTGAGGGCTGCCCAACTCCAGACCTTCCCTGACGCGGAATTTTCTCTACAGCTCTCGTAACACGTGCGCCTCCCCTTGGCACCCGCACCCGCACCCCCACCCCCCACCGATAGGGAGCACACTACCTCGCGTGTGCTGTTAGGAAATTCACTTCCTCCCAGGAGTTGTAAGTAAACCTCTGCACTCCGCCTGCCCCACACCCTCCCCCCACACCCATGCGGAGCACTGAGGACCCCGGAGACCCCGAGCTTCCCCATGCCCACACCCCCCCACCATGGATCCTTCCAGGAGGATGGGGGATGGGGGCTCCATCCCGCACAGGCTGTGTGCATTCCTGTCCTGTGTCCTGGGAGATCAGAACAAGGCACAGGGACTCTGTATCATGTGCCGCAAAAGCAGAGTTTAAGGAGATCAGTGTATGCCAAGTTGACCAGAAGTGGTAAAATTTTGCGTTGTCAACTTCACTAGGCTACGGTGCCGATATTTGATCAAACACCATTCTAGATGTTGCCATGAAGGTATTTGTTCATTGAGATTAACATTTAAATCATAGACTTTGAGTAAAACAGGTTACCCCCACCTCATAGTGTGGGTGGGCCTCATCTAATCAGTTGAAGGCCTTTAGAGAACAAAAACTAAACTCCCCCAAGAAAGAATTTTACCAGACGACTGTCACCTTTGGATTCAAACTGCAACTCTTCTGGGTTTCCAGTCTTCCAGCCTACTCTACAGATTTTGTGTCACCCTCCACAATCACGTGACCAGTTCTGGAAAATAAATCTGCCTTTTCCTGCATGTGTTATCTTCTTGGTTCCATTTGTCTGGAGAACCCTGACTCAGATACATGCCAAGCCCCCTTCCTACCTCAGGGCTTTTGCACTTGCTATTCTCTCTCCTGAGAATGCTCCTTCCCACTTCCGTCCTTATTAAAGTAACCCCTTTCTCGGTATGATACAAAGCTCAGATCCCATAAAAGGAATGATTAAAGCAGTTGACTTTATGTAAACATAGAAAATAATCTGCAAAGTAAAAATCACCCTGAAAAAAATCAAGCCAAATGACAATATTAAAAAAAAAAAAAACAAATTAGGGGCGCCTGGGTGGCTCAGTCAGTTAAGCATCCGACTTCAGCTCAGGTCATGTGCTGACAGCTCAGAGCCTGGAGCCTGCTTCAGATTCTGTATCTCCCTCTCTCTCTGACCCTCCCCTGCTCATGCTGTGTATCTCTTTCTCTCTCAGAAATAAATAAAATTATTAAATTAATTAATTAACAGTTTTATTTCTTGTGGGGTTTGTTTTCTTTTTGTTTTTTATTCTTAAGTAGGCTTCACATCCGGCATGGAGCCCAATGAAGGGCTTGAACTCACAACCCTGGGATCAAGACCTGAGCTGAGATTGAGAGTCGGACACTCAACTGACTGAGCCCCCCAGGTCCCCCAATGATAATTTTCAAATGACAAATGGAGAAAACTACAACTCGTAACACAAAGGGAAAATGTCCGTAATATATAAAGAGCTCTTGGAAAGAATCAATAAGGAAAAAAATACTACAACAGCACATGGGAAAGTTAGCAAAGGATATGAAACTTGAGCTCACAGAGCAAAATGCATGGTTCTGTTACCCTGGAGAAGACGCTCCGTCTCATAATGGAAATGAACATGAACACGATACGATGATACCATTTGTAACCCATCAGATTGGCAAAGATCAAAAGGCTTGATAATGCTCCACATTGGTGAGGTGGTGAGGGGACTGGCATTCTCTCACCTTGGTGGTGAGGAAGGAAGCTGGTACCACCCCTGTGCGGGGCGAGCACAGCCACTACCTAAATGACACATGCACACACCTGTACCCGAGCGATGGCACTTCCAGGAATTTCTCCTTCAGATACAATCGATCATGCACAAAATGATGTGAAAGCAGTTATCCACCACACACAGCAGCTCTTCACCCTCGGACGGAAACACTTCACGGCTGTGAAATGAGTACATGGAGGTTTGCTTGAAAATACACAGAACATCTTGGAAGATTTCACAAGGAACCTGAATTGTGGCTGTTTCTAGAAGTTTCCCTGAGAGTCGCATCCCAAGGTGCAACCATTATTAGACAGTTTCTTTTCCTCATCATCCCCCATGAAAGTTTAACAGCGCAGATCAGCTGTATATCTGTTTATATTTCATTGTGTATCTGTGCTTTAGACATGAAAATGCGTTTTCTCTCTCTCCCTCTCTCTCTGCCCCTCCCCCACCATGCTCGTTCTCTGTCTTGGAGGTTTTCAAAAGGCGAACTTTATGGTTTGGGAGACGATCTCGATGTCCAATAAGCGGCCCTGAAGTATGATTTGCCTCATGAGCCTTTGGGATCTATCACACGGCATCACAGTAATACTCTATTATAAGCAGCCAGCTTGCTAAGAGACTAGAACGAACTTACTTCGGCCACAAGAAGAAAGGACAATTATGCGAACCTAAGAAAGGCGCTAATTAGGCTGCAAAGGCAATGGTCAGACAACATATAAATGTACCAAATCAACACGTGGGCACCTTAAATTCACACAATGTTACGTATCAAACATACGTCCATTTATTGTCTTTATTTACTTAGTTATTTATTTTGAGAGAGAGCACGTGAGCATGAGTGAAGGAAGGGCAGAGAGAGAGAGAAAGAGAGAGAGAATCCCAAGCAGGATCCGCGCTGTCAGCACAGAGCCTAATGCGGGGCTCAGACTCATGAACTGTGAGATCATGACCTGAGCCGAAATCAAGAGTCCAACGCTTAACCCGCTGAGCCACCCAGGTGTCCCAAACATACATCAGTTTTAAAAAGAAACATATTCTCCCTCTCTCTCTCTTTCTCTCTCTGGCCTTCTCCCACTCATGATCTCTCTCTCTCTCTCAAAAATAAAGTTTAAAAAATCATTTAAAAAAGGGGGGACACCTGGGTGGCTCAGTTGGTTGAATGTCAGATTTTGGCTCAGGTCATGATCTCACAGTTTGTGGGATCAAGCCCCACGTCGGGCTTTGTGCTGACAGCTCAGAGCCTGAAGCCTCCTTCTGATTCTATGTCTCCCTCTCTCTCTCTTTCTCTCTCTCTGGCCTTCTCCCACCCGTGATCTTTCTCTCTCTCAAAAATAAATTAAAAAAAAACATAAAAAATAAACATATTCACTTTGATTACTGAGGTTTGGGGTACCCCTTAAATTTTGCTCAGAGGAGCGCCTCACTTACCTTGCCCTCATCCCAGCCTCGTGGTTGGAGGCACCAGGCTGTGTCAAGGGGCTAAGACTCTGCCTGTTTGCTGGCGTGAGGTTGGCCCAGGAAGGAGAGGCCGGAAGATCAGGCTCCTCAAGACCACGGCCGCAGGGCCTGCTTCCCACGGAAACCAGGAAAGCACCATACCACGGCCCCCACCCACGGTGGCCACCTGCAGCTGGGCCCACCCTCACCCCAGCGCAGGGGGAGGAGGAGCGAAATTCCCGATGGCAGGGAATTCTGGCCTTAACAGAGCTTTTCAAACACACACACACACACCTACACCCTCACCCTCAGCCGTCACCTGGGGCCTCCCGAAACTTTGCATGGACAGATGGGGCCGCCGGATGTGGAGAAGGAAAAGGAAGAAGGGCTGGGCTGGTGGCAGAAGGCTCAAGATAAGGAGCAAACTGATTTCCCCAAACCCAGCTGATGCCGGGCTAACCCAAGCCACTGGGCGGGGTGTGGAAAAGGTGGAGCTGACCCAGAGGGGAGAGGCTCATCTTACCTCCTGGGCCTTGCTCTGCACCCCTTCTCCCCTGCCCATGCCTGTCACACAGGCCAGGTTGCTACCCGCTTCCCTCCATGAGCACCCAGGATCCCCAGCTTCCCCTTCCAGTCTTCCCCCCACCTCAAACCTCAGGAAATTTCTTCTGCAAGAAGCAAATCTAACCATTCCCCTCTTCTACTCAATACCCTTTGTCAGTTCCCCATAGCCCTGAGGCTAAAGGATTTTCCCAGCGTCCCACTGACAGCTGGACCAAAGCCCTGCTAACCCCTCATGGGCTCCTCATTGCCGTCCCCAGTGCATTCCATTCCCGCACACCTTAGCACTTTCCCACCCACCTCAGGACCTTTGTATGCGCTCTCCCCTCCACCCAGAACACTTTCTTTCCTCCTCTTCCCATAGTTGATGCCTATCCCCACTTCCGATCTCACCTCTGGGAAACCCTGCATGACCACCCAGGTGGGTCAGGCCCACTCGCACCAGGCTTCAGCCCCACCGAACATGTATCAGGATTATACATTCTATCTGCGTGTGTGACCCAATCCATGACGACTTCCAAGAAGGAGCTGGAACTGGCAGGTAGTAGGTTCTCAACCGACACTTACCTACTTGCTGGTGATTCCAGAACTCTCTGCCCAGTAGAAGAAAGACAATAAATGCAAAAAACAAATAAGAATTTTAGATTGTGGGAAAAAATGCCCCAA